TCAATATTTTAACCTCAAATTCGATATTTTCTTACATTTTAACCATAAAAACATGAATTTAACCCATATTCATATCCTAAACATTCAAAATTTCACAAATTCAAAGTAGTTATTTATAGAAAACATGTCTAACCTTTCAGAAAATGACGGTCTCCGGCGAATCGAGGTGGCTTTGGTCTTGGTCGAAGTTGGTGAGGTTCGGGCAGTCCGTAGGCGACGTCGACCGGTCCGTAGCAGATTTTTTCTTTTTTTTCTCTCTCTATTTTCTCTTCTCTTCTTTCCTCAATGAGGGTATTTTCGACCCTACACATTTTGTTTACATTTTCCCTTTTTTTTTTTAACAAATAACTTGGTCAAAAGCTATTATGGAAAACACACCGGATGGGGCAGCCATTGCCCACCATTTCCTCGGAGAATCATTAGGTTTTAGCAGGGCCAAGGCTCCAGATATATCCGGGTCAATACCCATGACCCAACTGGATAGTTTGAATCCGACATTGCTAAAATCAGAGCTTTCCAAGCATTTATTTTCATTCTCATCCAAAAAGGGCAAGAGGGAGTTAAGCTAGTTTAATTTAAGCTGTTCGGCATCTATAATTTTACTAGCCCCGATGGGAACTTTGGGTTTCGAATTTGACGTTGAGGGTTCGAGAAGTGTAGTTTTTGGGGGGTGGATATAAGCGGCGACGAAACGTCGGAAGGTTGTGGATGTGAGGTGGAGCAGTGGCGGCGGAAATTTGGAGACGAGTGGCGGGGTCATGAAATGATGTGGGTTTGGAGGGAAGGGGTGAAGGTGGGGTTTTGAGAGGGTTTCCATTAGCACATTGTTTGAGGGAATTTGCTTGTTGAGCGCCAAATGTAGCCAAATGTGAGGAGAGAAGAAAGGGATGCTTTTTTTAATTTTTATAATTTATTGGACTGATTTATATTTTTTCAAAACGTTTGAGAGTATGATTGCAATTTCTACTTTATTTTTCTTTTCTTTTTTGGTTTTAAATAAGAGGGTATAATGGTCATTTTATGTTTAAAAATAGGGAAAATGATGTTTTGCTAAACCAAACGTTGAAATAAGGGAAAAATGTCAAAAAATAAAAGGTATGAACGTTTTCCACAATCAACATGAAAGGTAGGGACGTTTTGTGTCAATTATCCCTTAAATTATAATTCATTTCTTTCTCCCTTCTTATCAAATATGTATTCTTTAATAAAATAATATTACACATAATTTCAAAATTTATTCTTTTTTTTTAACCATTTATTCTTAAAAAAAAATATTTCAAACTTACTTTCGTCTCCACGATTCAAAAACTGCACTTCCTAAGCATCTTCCTACTCTCCAAACTAGATCCACTACCGCCGTCACTCGTCAACCACCATATTTGCCACTACCAAACGGTAGTATACCTACAAGGCTACAATGGCTAGAATGGAGGATAAATTGATGATATGATGACTTAAGTGGTTGATACATGCAGGCTTAATTGATTAAACAAGGAACGGAATATCAGTATAATGTCTAATTACGTAATTAGCTAGATCATTCGTTTTTTTACAATGAATCGAATTCATGTAATCGAATCTAAATTTATTAGAAATAAAGTTTAGTTATTATTATTATTATTTTTTAATTTCTAGTTTATGATTCCTACATTCAACTTTATGTTTGTGTGTGTATGTCATATATATTTATATTATGCATACAATAGCTCGGTGTAATGATTAAAGACATAGGTAATTGATACATATTTTCACGTATATTTAACCATTTAAAAGAGTATAATGAGTCTAATTACTTTAAATCACATTGTATGTCATAATAAACAGAATGGAGAAAAGAAATAGAATTCAGGTAAACGATTCTAAATTTAATAGAAATAGTATAGCTCATTGAATTCAATGAGTGAATTAGATAGAAGAGGTGTATTTAAGACATTTTTCACGAGTTGTACTCACTGGCGGATCCAGCTTCCCGCATGAACACGGGCTAATACGGAAAAAAATATATATTTTTTACTAAATTTTCTTCTTTTTTTCAAAGGGAATTTGGGGCGGACGGACGAACTGTAGCACTGGCGTGCCCGTCCCTGGTTGTACTTAATCCAATTCATTGCACATTGTTGTACCCGTACCATGAAGTGCACCCTGAATGGTCCCTTTCTTAACTCATTACATTACTTGCCTTGTGAACTATTCTATCAGGTCGGAGTTGCCAGCTTGTTCCAGATGCAATTAAGCCATATGAATTTAATCCCTAGTAGGTGGTCATTCACATCATATGAATGCAAATGTCGTTTCATAAATACATCACAGGTTCATACTCTATACAACATGCCGCAGATTCCTTGTGGAAATACATATACTTGTAAAAATGGCGATAGAACCCAAAACAGTGGAAATATGAAGGATTCGAGCACAGACAATACGAAGATGAAAAGGCAAATGCAATCATGAGTTAAAAGAGATTGAGTGAGGGCGAGAAAAAACTCATTAGCTCTACTGGTACAAACTATATATAGACTATAGGATAAAAACTAGATAAATAAAAACAAATTATTCAGATATCACAAATTATTTATCAGTCATAAATCATAAATTTCAAATATCACAACTTATTTATTGATCACAAATCACAAATTTTACAGGTTACAACTTATTTTTCGATCACAGGTTATCAAATTAATGGTGGCAACTTATTTATCTGTTGCAAATTATCAAATTAATTGGTCACGACTTAACAAATTGCGCGTCACTATTACAAATTTAGCCACAATGTCACATTTTATTAGGTCACACATTGTTTATTGGTCACAAATTATTCATTTTATCGATAACATATTATTTATTGATCATAAATTAACCAATTTATTAGCCATATATACGCTTCATCCCCATCCCACACCACCTCCAATAACCATCATTTGCAAACTTTAATGCAACAATTAATTTCAAACTTACTTTCGTCTCCACGATTCAAAAACTGCACTTCCTAAGCATCTTCCTACTCTCCAAACTAGATCCACTACCGCCGCCACTCGTCAACCACCATATTTGCCACCAGTTCACCACCATCTCCGCAACATTCAATATGAAACTTAAAATATTAATTATAACCTGAATTGTGAAACTTACATATGATTTATGAAATGCAAAATTTAAAAACAGTCCTGGGTGTAATTTTAAAATATATCTTGTAAATAGTGAATTGGAAATTTAAAGCTTAAGCCAACATTGAAACATTCCAACTTTAAATAAATTTCGTGAAAAGTGCTTCTTCTTCTTTTTTATTATTATTATTATTTTTTGAAGGGTGTGTAATTAAGAAATGGGAGTTAATGGATTCATATAAATTTAGAAAATGGTGACCAATCATGTATATAGATTGTAATGTAAAATAGTTAATCAAGCGCTCTCCATTTTCCAATGAAAAGACATCACATTTTTCCAGGGTTTATAACGCTTTAAAAGGTAGTGTACTATTCTCCGTGTGAGATCATACTCAAACACTGTTAGTAAATATGAGGCATTTAACAATATTGTACTAAAAATGGTCTTAAATTTTTACCTCTAGATTTACATTGAGAAAAGAGAATCTAACCCCTTCCTACTAAGCACCCCACAAAGTTTATGAATCGAACCATCATTTTCAACCAATTGAAGCCAAGTCTAGTGCACCCTGAATGGTCCCTTTCTTAACTCATTACATTACTTGCCTTGTGAACTATTCTATCAGGTCGGAGTTGCCAGCTTGTTCCAGATGCAATTAAGCCATATGAATTTAATCCCTAGTAGGTGGTCATTCACATCATATGAATGCAAATGTCGTTTCATAAATACATCACAGGTTCATACTCTATACAACATGCCGCAGATTCCTTGTGGAAATACATATACTTGTAAAAATGGCGATAGAACCCAAAACAGTGGAAATATGAAGGATTCGAGCACAGACAATACGAAGATGAAAAGGCAAATGCAATCATGAGTTAAAAGAGATTGAGTGAGGGCGAGAAAAAACTCATTAGCTCTACTGGTACAAACTATATATGTCATTAGGGATAATTAACACAAAACGTCATAAACTTTTAATGCTATTGTGTAAAACGTTCATACCTTTTATTTTTTTGGCACTTTAACATTTACATTTACCTTTTATTGCGAAAATAATCATTTTAATCAAATTTTTCATGTAAAATGACAAATATACCCCCTCTTTAAATAAAACCAAATAAAAAAGAAAAGAAAAGTTAAAGAATAAATTGAAATCATACTCCCAAACTTTTTTAAAAAATGCAAATGAGTTCAAATAAATAATTATAAAGGTAATTAGCACAAAACATCACTACGTTTCATTATACCTTTCATTTTTTTCTTACCCTTATTTCATATTTTAGTGCGAAAATCGTTATTTCCATATATTTTCTCAATTAAAAGCTGTAAAATGACAAATATATATACTCCTCTTTAAATAAGCAAAAATTTAAAAAAAGAAAAATAAAGAACAAATAACAACTATACTCACAAGTTAATATTTTTCTGAAAATTTTGGAAGTATAGTTGTAATTTGTTATTTATTATTATTATTATTTTTTTTGGGTTCATTTAAAGAAGAGTGTATATTTATCATTTTACAATTTTTAATTGAGAAAATTGATAAAATAGCTATTTTTGCAATAAAATAAAAAAAAAATAAGGGTGAAAATATCATAAAAATGAAAGGTATGAACGTTTTGCATAATACTAATGAAAGTGAGGGACATTTTGCGCTAATTACACTTTTAATAATTTATTTGGACTCATTTTGCACTTTTTAAAAAAGTTTGGGAGTATGATTACAGCTTATTTTTTAACTTTTCTTTTCTTTTTTATGGTTTTATTTAAATAAGAGGTATATTTGTCATTTTACACGAAAAAATTGATTTAAATAATGATTTTCGCAATAAAATGTGAAGGTAAGAGTAAAAGTTTCAAAAAATGAAAGATATGAATGTTTTGCACAATAATATTGAAAGGTAAGAACGTTTTGTGGTAATTACCCATACCATTAGCATTAAATAGAATTCATACGTAGAGCGATACAAATTTTGACGAACCACAACTCGCACGAACCACAACTCGCAAGATTCATGATACCTAGAGCCAAATATCTTTAACATTTAGTATATCTAGAACCTGAAAAATGTGGAAGTCCATAGCTGCACACTTGAGTATACAAGAGAGAGAGCCAATTACTGTTCACCTCAGAGCCTGGCCTTCTGCTTTGTTAGTTATTACCGAGTCAGACACATTACCACCAATTCTAAGGTTACCAAGCAAAGCATCCCGTCCTGTTAGAACAATTTTGAAGAAATTATCAACTACATTTGAAAGTAGATCTAGTCCTTGTGAAAGTTTCCCTTCTGTCTTTACTAAATCTGATATCAGGTTCTGCAACATCTGAGCTTCAATTAGGTTGACCTCATTTTGTACAATGGGGTATAATTTTTTTACACTTGCATCAACAGCTTCTAGCTCTTTCAGCACAGTGGCCCTTCCACTTGAGTATATGCATCTTATTTCAGTATTTACAAAAGTCTGCAGACAAGCAAAAGCATCTGCCCACAAGCATGTGTCTGGTACCTGTAGGTCCATCAACTTCTTTGCTGAACCCGAGAATGCTGCAGTGAATATACTGCATACGTAAACTGTTACCACTTTGACTGCATACATAGCTCGCATCAAAACCTTTCCCTTCGCAGAGCTCTTGATCTTCGGTAGGTCTAGCGTTTGGGAAAGACCATCCATGATGGAAAAACAATTCTCAAGTCTTGGATTCCTCGAGCTAATATGCTGCCTCCATCCATCCAGTGATGAGAGCGCCCGCACAGACTTATTTGAGTCGCCGCTCAAGTTATGCAAGGCACATTGAAGAAAAAGGCGGCCTTGGTTGAGCCGAGAGATCTCAGAGGTGAAAGCAATGCAAATATCCAGCAAGTCCAAACTATTATCTAAGTAAACATCAATCCACTTGTCATCCCAATCACAGACAGGAAGTTCAAGAGCTGTGATAAGCGTCTTTATATCGGTATGAATTCCACAAAGGGACTCGAGGGCCAATCTCATCCACGATAAGCTTAGGACATCTTCCCTGTCTCTCGGCTTGAGCCTTTTAAGCCTCTCTGCCAATGTCTCCTCAAAACTATTCAACAGAGCGAGAAGCTTTGGACCCAGGTAAGAGCCCTTAGGTAATAGCATTCTGAAGGGATTTCCAAATGGGATAAATGGCCTGTGGGGATCCTGTGGACGACTCATTGAATGCAAAATCTGAAACAATATATGAAAGACTACCACATTAAGAAACAAAAGTGTGCATCATACAGCAAAATATAGTTATCCAAAGGAGGTAGGCAGGTAGGGGCAAGGGAACTTTCGACCAAGCATTTTAAACTACTCGAAAATCGTATCTCAAGGTAAGTGCTTGGAAGCTTGACAAATAAATGTTCTGACCAAGTCTAATAAAACAAAAATTTTAGTTCAAAGACACCAAACATTTTACCTCTACAACTAATGGCATCAGGATATTCCAGTTATATATTAACAAGTTAGTGTAAGATCTACCTCTCTCCTTAATCATTGTCAATTTGTCACACAGGTAAATAATAGACGGATGGGGTTAAGTTATTTTAAAAATCAGAAATTACTAATAATTTTAATTTTATACAAGATAATGAGATACTGCAACCCAAAATTTTGTATTTTTCCAAGCTTTGAATTTCACAAATTTCACAGTCCAAAAGGTTTGAATTTCCCTTATCTTTTCCATTCAAGAAGTGCAAAATCTGAGGAGAATCCTTTTCCATTCGTCCAAATCGTTCCTTCTATAAATTTGTGACCCATCCAAGCCCACGAACCCTAAATCAATAAAGTTAACAGATGAAACTAAACTCCAATTTTGATAATAGCTCAAATATTACCCCAGTATCTATTGAATCCAACAAGAAAACAGAAAAATCTAAAACCAAAAGAAGAAATGAAAAATTTCAATCAAATCCAATTCAAAGAACATGGCTGTACAACATGTGAAAAATTAGAAAGAACAAAATATAATAATAACTAACAACAAAATCCACCCTGAAATCAAAAAAAAAAAATTAAAAAAAAATCCTTATTTGTTATCCAAAGTTCATATCTTCACTACCAAAAAAAAATAAAATAAAATAAAATAAAATAAATTAATCAGAAAAAAATAGAAAAAACACAGAACTTAAAAATAATCTTAAAAAATACTCACCAAAATTATCAGATCTTCGCTGATTCAAACAGTCAACTCAAGTTCAATCCGATAACGGAAACCCAAAGTCAAATCCTAAGTCCTAACAAACATATTAGACGAAGGGGGTACAAGAAAATAGTACACAGCTGCACATATGTAGTTATAGATAGAGAAAATGAGAGGTTGCCGTTGCGGGGCGTACCTGGAAGAGCACTTGCAGACGCGTACAGAAGTGGCGACTTTCGTTGAAAGAGTACGTAAATTAGGGTTAGCTTTTCGGAACAGGAAGAGAAAGATGTTGACAAATTGAACTTAGGTTTATTTTATGTTAGTCACTCTCTTTTAATTTATTTCAATTTGATCATCCACTTCATATTTATATTACACTTTGGTCATCCTGTTTATATTTAAATTTTAGGGACTTTGTGACAAAATTTTTGATAAAAATTTTAACATATTTTGACAAAATTTTATGAAATGTGCAGTTAAAAAATTAATAAAATTGTGAAGCCAATGAAATGTATTATTAAAACTGAAGTTCGATTAGTTTAAAAGTTGATGAAACTCCCTATTTGGTGCGGATAAAATTCAAATTTTTAGTAGGATTTAATAAAAATTATGAAATGTGTGAAATAAAAGTTGTAACCCCTAGGAATCACCCCTTCGAGCCTACCGTTCTCTCGTAAAGCCAAAGGCTTCCAAGATAAGGTCAAATTGTTGGAAAGAGGACATGAGCAAGTACGCTCAAGTGATGTAATAGAAAGATTGGGTTTTGAAGATAAAAATCCTTTACATTGACATAGGGAAATCCATGAACTCGATTTGATTTTTATTTCTTACTAAGCATATGAACTGTTTTAGCGGTAGAGGCTCTCCCTAATTATTTATCTTTATTAGAGATGATCACCACATAATGTATCATACTATTTATGGACAATGTGATAGTTGACCCTATGAACACGTAGCCTATCTATGATGAATAATAGTATTCTAGCGCATTGGATCCCTTAACTTTTGTCTTTTAATATGTTAAATTGCATACTTTCTTCTCCAACTTGTGCTTAAGTAGCATCGTGACCTCAACCCTATTTTTGTCAATCTCATCTGGACTTTCTATAAACTATAACGAGCTTAGGCGTGGTTGTGGGGCGGGTTCGGGGCGAGGCCCTCACCCCGCCCTGCGACGCCCCACCCACGCCCCGCCCCGCCTCAAACGGGGAGGGTCGCAAGGCGGGGTGGGGCGAGACCATGCCCCATTTGTCGCCCCGTTTATTATTATTATTATTTTACATTTTTAAAATTTTAAATTATATTATTATTAGAGAATAAAATATAAATTCAAAATTTTAAAATTCAAAGTAAACACTTGAAATAAACAATGTTAAAAATTAAACAATTTCAAATAAAATTACGCTTTGACTAAATTTTATTTCTTTTCTAATTAATTAAAATTTTACATTTGTATTTTATTATCTAATAATGATATAACTTGAAATTTAAAAAAAAAAAAAATTCTCCCCACGCCGCCCCTCCAACCCATCGAGGTGGATTTTTTTGCCTCATTCGGGACGGGACCCCACCGGGACGGGACGGGTCAGATTTTTTTGCCATCACTAAACGAGCTTTATGAGAAGTTTATGTCAAATCTCGTTGTTATTGGGTCATGTATTGTGAGTTGCACTCAACTTTTTGATAATTATATGTTTGGTATGACTTTCAAAAAGGTAAAAATTGCTTCTAAAATTAAAAAAAAAAAAAAAAATTGCTTTCGAACTTGTTTGTATGATTTTTTTGGTAGCAAACCGTTTGGTGAAGTTGATTTGATGTAGCTTTTTCGAAAAGCTTTTTCTAGAAGAAGATAAATAAATAAATAAATAAAAGCAAAAGTCTGGTAAAAAAGTGTCCTAAATCCATTAGAAAAATATTATTAATAAATATTCGCTTGAAATTTTGTTTTAATTTTTTTATTATTTTAAATATTATTTCAATGAAATATTTACACATATTATGATTGAATAAATTAGCAAAAATATTTAGTGTTAAATTATTTGATTTTATATTTATTCATGGGATTGAAATTTTTGATATTGAAGAGAGATCAATGCACACTGCACGACATATCAAGCTCATTTGCTAGTCTGTCATAGATGTCCCCGATTAATTTAATAATTTTCCATACTACGATTCATTTACTTGTCGAACCATTCCACCACGGATAAAAATTAAATAAAAATAATTTATTTATGTAAGTTTATGCTGTTCACGCACACTTCACGTACAAGTTAGATTAATTTTACCGTGCCCCCCAGGGCACATCCGAGTTGGTGGAATAATCACTTTGCTGGGACGCTGGAAGCAAGGGTGGGGAGTTCGATTCCTGGAGTTAACACTGGGAGCCATATGGAGAGGAAGTCATTGGTGTGAACAAACGCCCAGTGAGGAGAGCTCTCTTTGCGGAAGGAGTCCAAATGAGTTGTGGGAACCTGGGAGCCAACAAGGGCACATCCTGCGATTTACCTCCCTGAGCTGCTGAGGGGCCGGAGGTTCAGGGACAAGGATCTAGTCGGACACAAGCCCGGACACCTTGTTAAAAAAAAAAAAAAAAAAGATTAATTTTACCGCCCCCAGGGCATATCTCCTAGTGGCAAAGGGGAGGGCGGATAGGGCTCAACGCGACAGTGTGCAGAGTTCGATTCCCCGTAAGGTGGAACTGGCTTTGTTGCAAGCGGGAGTTACTATATGGGTTAACAGTCTTGACCTATCCATGTGCTCTCCACCCTGGCTTCTGGGAGGCACATCCTGCGATTTATCTCCTCCACGATGGCCAGGACAGGGTCTGTGGGGGCCCTTAAGGTTGGGGTTCAACCTTTTTTTTTTTTAGATTCATTTTACCTGATAAAAACCTCACACATAAAACTTCTCATAATAGAAAGCCTGTGAAACTGTAATCCGCTCTCTTTAGTTGAAGGACCTCAGCTATATTATAAGAACCAGACACAGACACTATAAAAATCGAAGTCCGGTCCGATTTCATATAAAAAATCGAAAACAGTTAGAAGAAGAATTGGTCAGTTCGTACTCGATTCGACCTTTTTACTGTTGACCCTCTATCATTTTGCATCGAATTTTGGGCAGTTATTAGAACATGGATAAAGAGGAGGACAATATATTTATTGCCTGATACATCCATTTGCCAGCTGAAGAAATAGGGCCTTTCCCTATTAAATCCAACTGCCAGCTTGTTTTTTCCTCAATCAAACCAAATGTCCCTACTCTACACCATAAGCAAACTAATGTCCCGGCGTTGATAGTGAAATGAATGAATATTATATGTCCCAGTTCCAATCTGGAATATGACTGTTCATGCCTTAGCTCACCATAAAGCAACCACAGACCAGAATTATTAACACAAGGATAGACAACCTTGAATATGAACAAGCTGTCCAAAGGGACTTCTCAGCATAAACCTCCAAGGCTCCAAATGCAAGTTATACTAATAAATTCCGTGTACTTCTAACGTTAAAATGTTAAGCACGCCCCCACTGTTGATTATACACTGGGCTGTAAGATGCACGACTGAGACACCTGTACCAAATGATACTAAAGAAATTCTGTGCACTTCTATCTTAACACATTGGTTAGGATAACTCTAATCAAATCCCATGCACGCCCAGTGTTGTTTATACACTGGGCCGTAAGATGCATGATTGGTACACCTGTACCAATTGATGCTAAAAGTAAATACGTTCCATAAAGGTCTATCTAACACGTCAGTCCTATGCCCAGTGTTTATACTCTTGGCCATAAGATGAACAATAATGACACTTGTACCAAGTGATGCTAAATACCTTTCTTGAACGTACATCTTAATATGTTAGTTATACATTGGTCCCGAAGATGCACGAGTGGGACACGATTGCAACCCAAATCAAAGGTGAGTGTAAGAATACTTGCTCCACTTGCCATCCGACTGGACGATGTATAAATGCTGGACATAGGCTAGAGGCTTTCTGGTTAGTGGGGTCAGTTGTTTCTGAACAGAGAGTGCTTTGCTGTAATCTTTGATGGGCACTCTGCAAGTTACCTAATCAGTCTTTAAGTAGATAGAATGCAACAGCCAAAGATAAAGATGCAAAAAGTTTGATATCACAGGGCACGGAGAAAATAAATATTACCCAAAAAAAAAAAAAAAAAAATGGTTCTTCCAAATGAATTTACTATGATTCTTTAAGAATGATAAATATGTTTATTCATTTTTACAAATGCTACTGAACAACAACTAACTAACTGATAAACAATAGCAATTTCATGAACCAGAAAACTTGTAAGAGAAGTAATAAATAAGCAGCAAAATTTTGCAGTAGTTCGAATAATAAATTCAAAATGCTGTATTACCACCCTGTTGGATAATTATGTTCCAACTACCATCCCCTTCACTAGCATCAGAGGTACCTCTGCCACTTTGTTTATCGACCAACTTTGGCCCAATGGGCTTATCTTCTCAATGGGAACTGGAAGATTCTCTGCCAACTCGTCGTTCCTGCAATTTGTAGAACATGTAAGTGACTGAAAAGAGTGATGATATATTTATGGAAATTTGAGGTTGCAGTTTGCTCAGAGGAAAGATAATTCTAGCATACATCACGAGAAGTCAAGTCCTCAGCCTCCAGCATGTGTATTATGTGTCCCATTTTGGGCCTCTTCTGGGCATCAGGATCAACACATCGAAGGGCAACCAAAATAACACGTTTTAGTGCTTTTGATGCAGGCCTTTCAGGCAACTTAGGATCCACAACTTCCTCAGATTTCCGGTTTCCAACCATCATCTTCAACCACTCAACCAGATTGATCTGCCATCATTTGTAATTGCAATTGATACAAATATTCAAGGTACACAATCAACAAGGATGACTTAAGTTTAACATGCTAAGACTAACCTCTCCCTGTGGCCGACCGTAATCAACAGGAGATCTCCCAGTAATTATCTCCATGATAAATATCCCGAAGCTATAAATATCACTCTTCTCATTGAGCATACCAGTGCAAGCATACTCTGGAGCTACATAACTAGTAAAGAATTGATGCTTGATCAATTAAACCACCACTTTCTACGGAAACTTAAGTCGCTAAGAGGAAATGAGGCAAAATAGTTATGTTTATGCAATGAAATGAACTAACCCAAATGTTCCCATCACTCGAGTTGTCACGTAACTGCTTTCCGAATTCAAAAGTTTAGCAAGCCCAAAATCCGATAACTTAGCATTCCACTGACGGTCGAGCAGTATGTTGCTTGCTTTGATGTCACGGTGAACCACCTTGGGTTCCAGACCCTCGTGGAGATAGGCCAAACTGGAACAATGAAAACACAAAGTAACAAGTATGCCATAAAAGAGAACGAAATCACAAAAGCTATCGAGTTAGCATACCCCTTTGCAGTTCCTAATATTATGTTCATACGAATCTCCCATGTCAAAGGGCTGACTTCGCCTATATCTCCATGCAGCCATTGGTCTAAATTTCCGTTATCCACATATTCATAGACAAGCATCCTACACAGAAAAACAAATATACAATGACAAAAGGAAAAATTCAACTTCTTGACACTCGAAACCAAATCAAAAGTAACATTCGAAGAGACAAATATCAATACCTGTAAGCTCCTTCAACGCAGTAACCTAGCAACCGCACAAGATTCTTGTGTCTGACACGTCCGATAGCTTCAACCTCCACCTTAAACTCTTTCTCAGCTTGGCCCCTGAAAAATGTGTCAGTAGCATGAGTTGAAGCATATCAATAACAGGAGAATAATGCATACCCGCATTGGAAAAACAAATCTTCCAGACTTTGAGTCAAAAAGCTGAAAAGTTTTCCACTGTATGAAGCAAGGAATAGAGGCATGGAAATAAATTTAGTGCCTAAAAGTATCTTGCACTCAACACTGTCATATTTCTACAACCTGAAGTATGAATAAACCAATTCTGACCTGCATTCCATACAGTTAAATTCTAACATAACATCAATTGCAAAATTAAAATTTAAACTTCATCGGAGATGAAAAGAAGGGGAAAAGGAAATCGCAGAACTGACTCTACCTTCCCAAAAAGAACAAACCTGAAATAGACAGAATTAACTTTCTACATGTTTAAGGACTTCATAGAACACATTAAAAGAGGGAAAAAGAAAATATTATCAAATGTAACAACACTCCTCACATAATGTGAGTGTAAACCATATTAGAAAATTTCCATTACTTAACCATAAATCATATCCACACCAAAGCGAATTAATAAACAGATCAACCAAAGAACCTAATTACATACTGACAATGTGCATTGCAATGAATCAAGCATCTTAAAACTATAGCAAATTTAGCAATTTCCGTACCTGTTGTTTAACAAATTCTTTATGGCGACCTTGGTGTTGTCAGCCAATACACCATAATACACAATACCATACCCACCTTCACCAATCACATTCTCATCAGCTAAACAATTCGTAGCTGCCTCAAGCTCTCTCAAAGTATACCACCTTCCCCACCCCAAATGTGACACCTCTGGTAATGCCCCACTACCACCAAATGACCCGGTGTCAGCCCCACTTGTGGCCCGACTCTCGCCGCTCGATGCACCCCTATCAGAAAACACTACCCTATGCTCCACCTTCCCCATATCTATCTGTATCTCCGGCAAAGCCTGAAAAATTCAATAAGAAAACAAAACAACATCAAAAATAAAATACTAGAATCGATAGAGTTTCTGCATAATCCAGATCTTGTCAAGTACAATTAAAAAAAATTCTCTTATGATAATTACCTTTCACAATTTAAAATGGAAATAAAATTTACTTAAAGCAGTGCTCAACTTCACATAAAGCAATAAATTTCACAGTAGCTTTTATCTTAGCATACTAGATTTACCAGTAATACAAAGTACATATACTGCAGAAAATGATCCAAACAAAATTTCACTTGCTCCGACAGCATTAAAATTCAATTTACCATCAACGAATTCATTATAAAAATAAAATAAATTAATCTAATTAGTTCCGGTGAAAATGAGATTTTGAAATTTTAGATGCAGTCTAAAAGTGTATATAAATCGTGCCTGAGGGACGATGGGGCGATGATCAGGGGCCGCGTCATGGACGATCTCCTGGATTTCTTTGGAGATGACGGGGGTGTGCTCTTTGGCGCCGGAGAGCTTCGCTGGGCGGTAGAGTTTGTGCTTGCTGCTGCGGCGGCGAGAGGCGGTAATGCAAAGTGAAAAAAGAAAAAGGATGAGGACTATAACAGCTCCGACGACTATTCCAATGACCGCCCATAGATGCAACCCGAAGATCGATGTCCTCTTAGAGAGTTCTCTGTTCACAAACGTCGCATCGTACACTGTCATCTTCACACTGTATATATAGAAGTGTATATTGTATGTGCGAACTTGTGAGTGACTGTTCGAGTTCTATGTGCGCGTAACTTTGTGAATCGTGAAAATAAGCAGGATTAGGGAAAAACACCGTGCCATGCAAAGAGAAATTGGCATTGAGTAGTGTAAATTGTTCCTGTAAATGTTTATAAGAGATCGAATGATTATTGGATTAGATGGAATGGTTTTGGCCGGAAAATGGAATTCCGGCGAGTCCACCGCTGGGCGGAAAATAGAGTTGATGAAGAGAGAGAGTAGAGAGAAAAAGAATCTAGTGTGCCTGTCTGCTCCACTGTGTGCTCTGGATTGTTTTGTATATTTTATAATTTTATCTTTTATATAAGCATAAAAGTAATTATTCAGTCCTAAATCCAAAGTCCAATTTTTCTCCAAATTCATTTTTTTAATATTTTTCAATAAAATAATTTTACACTTAAATATAAAAAAATTTCCTAACTTTTAACTTACATATTCCAAAATATATATATATATA